CTGGTTAAGGCACTGATTGCTTCAAGTTTGCTTATTGTACTTCCTAGTTTAGGCAATAGCTGCACATAAAAAGCACTCCTTGTATGTCAGCTTAATTAGAAGTGACTCATTTAATGGAGGCAGTGTAATTAATGTCTATTATGCCATGCAAAGATCTTATTTCAACAAGCCGGATAGATTTTTCTTTCTCCTGTAACAGCCTGATTGCATCTGATCAAGGTAATAAAAGGAATAGTTGTGTTATATAGCTTGCAGGCCTTCACTGGGAACCTTAATTGCCTATTTACTATTGCTGAGGGCATCAGGCTTGGATATCCTTGACCACAGCCTTCAGCATGGTGTCTCAGTGGAGACATGTTCTAGGTTCAGACTATTTCTCAGTGTGAGTTCTAAATTCGGGTGATTCTTCAAAGAGAGAAAAGAATACTGAAAGCTTACAACGTATCAAGTCCATTCAGCCTTTCCCGAGGAAGGGGGAAAAAAAGGACTTATTTACATATTATTTACAAAAGTAACTTTGCCTTCAAAATAGCTGATTTTTGTCAATGTCAAATATAAGCAAAACCCCAATGTGATGAGTCCAAATTCCTGTTGGGCTTAAAAGCTAGCTTGAATAAACAACCCACAAATATGGAAGTCATAGAGGCAGGAGCTAGAAATCCTGTTTTGAATCCCGAATAATAGATTTCTCTCCAAACCTGAGAATAATGTTATAGTTCAAACATATGCTGTGACAAATTCAGAACTGGCCCTCAGTTAGGTTTGATTCTATTCTAATTTAAACTAAGGAAGGAGCAGGTCTTTTCAAGAAATTTCATTGACATAAAAATTGTAAACCCAGAAAGAATCAGATCTTGCTGTCTCCCAGTATTTCACCTCAATACAATGGATTCAGAAGCATTTCTGGCAGGATTGAAACATGAAATTAGAATAAGATGAGGAGCTCTTTATTTTCAGACTTGAAGACAAAATTGTGCAATTCATGCAAACCATAAACCACCTCTAAAGTCTAGAATATCTTACAATGAAGAAAGTGACTATATTGATGAATAATGTGTCTGAGTAGAACAGAGTATAAAATGAATATGTATCAAGGTTATAAATAATAATAATAAAGTCAACACAAGTGTTATATTTTGAACTAAGATAAAAAAGAAAATATTTAACAGTCATATCAACATAAATAGTGTGGAAAGCAAGGTATCTCAAGTTGTATATACTATGACAGGTCAGATTCAGGTAGCCCAAATGATACTTAATTGTATTAATTTTCAACAATATGATTATTTACAGTACTTAAGGACAGCTACTTTACTGAACTTTGATAGGATGTTCTTGTAGGCATTTCCATCTTTATATTATTCCTATTAGATATGCTCAATTTATTCTCTCTTGGTATATTATGAAGCATTTATGCTTAATGTGCATAAGAAGAACTTTTGATCTTTTTTATGGCACGTAATAATAATCTCCAATGTCATGGTTCTCCCTGTAGACTAAAACAAAGACCTCAGGATTTGAAAGCTTAATCAAGGATTTCAGTGTTCTCGTTCCCACCAATATCTGAGACGTTTTGGTTCCTTATAATTTTCCTCAAAGTAGAATCAGAACCTGAATTTCCATTAAAAACACTGCCAACAATTACAATTCAATTATAAGAACAATCCTTCTTAAATAACCTATTTACACTTATTTGGCAACACTAGCAAAATAGGCAGCTCTCCACGGTGCACAAAACCATGCGGCTCCAAATCTGATGATAAAATTTGTTGGTAAGGAAGCTTCTTATCTCTGCATGAACATGACATCCATTCAATTGACTTATCAATCTACTTTCCCCAGGGATAACATAAGAATGTATACAGACTACAGCAGAATCAGATCTGGCCTTTTGAGTATGAAGGCTCTTGCTAATACAAATCATGATGGTGTGCTGGGGAAAGGACTGGGAATAGGGCATGGCTGGACTTTTTCAATCAAACCTGGTAAGGGATGTTATAAACAAAAGAGGAATCCACTAGAACATGTACAGTCTTGTTTTATATAGTGCCATAATTGTAACAGTTGAGTTTAGATACTCAGCTTATTTTGTATCTTTATTTCTCACCTAAATGCACATACTTAATGCTGCAGCTATAACTTACTGTGTAGCAGAGATCCCATCAGAATTGAAATCTCAGTGCCAGTCACCTGCTTCATTCATTTCTTGCTGTGAGCCTAATGAGAAAACAGCCAGAGCTACCCTGAGGAACTGAGAGAAGAAATATCACTTTTCCAGAGGTACCAGGAAATTCAAACTGTTCTGAACATGGGAGACAGTAAGAGCAGCTGAACCATCAAAAATATCATTGTGAAATAAATAATCATCTCATTCTCAGTATGAGGGACTTGAATTGTGCATGTCAGAGCCACGGGAAGAGAAAAAGGGAACTGGGCAAAAACTTACTCAAAGCCTGGTGAAGCGAATTAAAGTTTATCTAACGGCTTCAACGGAAATTCCATTGCAACCATTTTATTCACACTTTCCCTTGAGAGCAAAATTCTCTTAGAATGCCCAAATAAAGTACACCCTCAAGGTTTTTTACTGACTCCTAAATGTCAGGCAGAATTGCCGTCCAAAAGATAAACGGTGCCACGGACGATCATTTGAAGAATCTGTGGTATCAAACATCATCTTTATGTAGGGTGGTGGACATTAAGATAATGGCAAGCTTCAGTTGAGGTACGAGAGCGAGGCAGCAGTTCTGATTGCTCAGTGGATGCCTGTTCCCTTTGAATACTTCTGTGGTTTGTGAATTCAATAGAAAACATTGTGGGAAGAGGTGGTTGCAAACTTATTTTACAATAATAAAAACTGATTTATAATCATAATATCAATCAAGTTAAAATCCTAATCATAAGAACTAATTTATAATAATAAAACAAATGGGATGATGTTTACCTGTAGCTTTTGTAGAGCATTTGAACCTTGGTAAAAGCTTTAAGCATTTTTGATCAGAACTCAGTTGCTTTTGGTCAAGCACAAAATACTATGAGATAAAAAAATTGGCCTATATTTTTGTGGTAAAGCCATTTTCATACTGTCACAGAAAATTAGGGATAAATTGCTCTGTGTTTATGAGTAGTTATTCTTCGTACTTCACATACTCTAGGGTTGTTTGGAATGTTTTATTCTGAAACAACATTGCCACATGCTTTCTACAAATACGTTATTGAGAGTTCTCTACTGGTTCTCCACATATGCCAAAAAACTGGGTCATAACAGAACTCTCTGAATATTGACAACATTAAAGAAACACTTTCTGATTCAAATCTGGGGAAGTGCGGGGAAAAAATGAAATTAGGATTTTCTATATTTTGACCGTTAGCAAAGTACTGAGATTTTCAATATTTAGTTGCAGTTAGTCTAGATTATCTGTGTGTGTCCCTTCCAACAGAAATCTATTCTATTCTATTCCATTCCTACTGATATATGTGAATATTGGTTTAACGTGGGAGGCACTCAGACACTAGAGAGACTGGTGGCAGCATGAGGTGCCAGGACAGCAACTGTAGCACAGCTGATTTCAGAGATTCTTGAAGAAAGCATTTTTCATATCCTATCAGTGCCATGGTTCCCATGTCAGCAGTATCGAGCTTGATCAAAAGCCATCATGTTGATTAATGTAAAAACACAAAGAAGGACTTTCAGTCCTACAGAAGAACATTAGCAGCAAGAGCTGTCTGATTAGGCAACATGTAGAAGTTCAGTGATTTCATTATTAATTTTAATGAGCAAACGACATGGCAAATATAAAAAGTAATTTGATTGTATTTACCAGAAAATTATCTCAAAAGAAAAAGAGTAACAACTGGTTGTTCCACTGCAGGGAGAAAGGAGTACCCCTGAGCATGGGAATCCTCACGAAAACAACATTCATCCTGGCATTGCTCCCAGGCAGAGCAAGCAAGCTGTGTAACTGATCAGATTTGTAATATAAAAATGATTATCTGTGCTGCTAAAAGCCTGGTGGGTGATAAAATATATGTATTGCTCCTCCCCTACCTGCAGCTTCATCTCAGCTATTACAAAACATTGCTTTTTTACTATTGTGCCCAAATCTTATGACTTTAACAACAGGCATTGAACCAGGTTGGCTGCTGGCATTAAACCCAGCTTTAAGATGGTTTTTGTCTGGTTGTTTTCATGCTCACTTACCCTACGGTGGGTATAGATGTAGGTCATTCTGTTCTGCAAACCCTTCGTTTTGGCACCATGGGCCCCTATATATGTACAAAGATTTCTCTTCACTACAAGACCAGGATGCAACTAATATAAGATACAATTAATCTCTTTACAAAGAGCAGAGGCTGTGTTGTGTAGATATGGACTTAACTGCCTAGTTTCTAAGGAAAATTTATATCTCTTGCCCTTGGTAGGTTTAAGAGGTAGGAAATTGCACAAAGGCTGGAGAAAGAGAAAAGGAAAACCAGACCTTAGTTATTTTGAGGCCATTTATCATTTCTTCTCTACACAGTTTTTTTGTCCCACATGGGCTGCAGCTTCTAACACATTGTCTAAGATGAGGAAGCACTGAGTGACACTTCATCAGGTTAGAATGACCAAGACACAGGGAGGGATAAGGATTTTTGCACTTGCATCACACAGGAGAAAAGGAAACAACATTTTTGCTTCACTTTCACACACTGTAGGATGTCAGGCTGTACTTCATTTTAGGATATTCAGTGGCAGAATTGAGTGCAGAGGTAATGATGCCTCAGTGGGAGATGTACCTGAATGAAGGAAGAATGAAAACTGACTGGAGACACCAGGGTATATGTAAGAGAGAGCCCAGACTGTAGGTGTGGGTATGCAGAGATGAAGAAGAGGATGAGAGGTTTTCTCTCTTCCCAAATGCATCACGTAGCACTAGGATATCCTAGGATGCACCAAATAAAAAAGTTTCTTCTTGTGCCACCAGAGGTTCCCACTAGCATTGCTTGGTATTGATGCAGCTGCCATGTGCCTGTCCCTTCAGCATCTGAAAAAAATGAAGATGTTTTTGAAAAGACAAGTCAAAGGCATGCCTTGGATGGAGAACAAGTTTTCTCCTTCACCTTGAAATGTGAAGGAGGTAGGTAATCTCCATCTGAGGTTTGCCATGATTTTTATCAAATATCTGCTATCTTTAGCAAGTACTTTGCCTAATTTCCAAAATACTAAACATGAAAGAATGATGAGAACAACAAATTTGACTGCTTTCTTGCCAGATATCTCAATGCATTTGGGTTTTTCCCCACTATCATTTTGATAGGAACCGGACTGCACAGGTTTAGCAGGCAGAGGCATGACAGCCAGGCCTCCAGAACTGTATGTGCTCACACAATGGAGAGCCTGGATACTCCTTTCAGCACATTTCAGTTTAGCTGTGTTCTGCTGCCGTTAATTCTTTGCTGTTTCCTACCATGGTGACACAAAAGTCACATCCCCAGAAAGAGGGTTTGAAAGAATTGTTTAAAAAGTGACAGTCTCCAGGTAGCCATGGGGAAATTTTAATTTTTCTTTTCTGGCAGTTTCCACCTGAGAACATGAATACACTTCTTGAGTTTTTCCTCAGGTATTATGGTGCCTGAGGCAGGGAGATCTCACAGTCCTTCCCTCCTTGCACGTGGTAGTACTGGCTTTCAGCCCAGACCTAGTGTTGAGTATTTCTGTGCACTGCAATCCCACTTGGAGCAGGTCCCAGGAGGAGAACACTTCTCTCCACTGCCTGCTTCTTCAACCACATGCTGAGCAACTGGGAGCCCTTTCCCCCCACACTTAGCAGGGGTGAGCTTACAAAACCGAGGGCCAGAAATTGGAGTCTTAATGCCTGATTTCCCCAAAGGCCATCCCAGCTCTCTGTCATGCCCCATTGCAAGATCACTGCTTCACTGTGCGCTTTTGCAGTGCCGTCCCTGATGCCTCCAGAAAACATTGTGATAAACATATACAAAAAGAGCTTGTTATTTCACACCTGAAAGTCATCACAAATGGTGTCTGGCTTTCAATTTTTTTTGCTATCTTGCTGTAGATATATTGTGAGGAAAAGCTTTCTTCAAGCATTCACATTAAATCCATTTCTTAAAGGAAAATAGCTCATTTATGCTGCACAAGATAGAGGCATATAGAGAACAACTGCATTCTGCCTTTTGAGGCACCTTGTATTTTTTGACAGCCTTAGCCCACAGCCTTTGATTAGATAAAGGCCTTAATATTGCATTACAGCAGAATTACCTATATTATGGCAGCTGCTTGTTGCAATTGTGTTGACATGGCTGGCTTCTTGTGGGAATGTATTTTGGTCTTTCTAATCTCTTTAGCATCAGCAGCAGGACATTTTATTTGCAATTGATTTTTAAATTTAGGAGTAATTGAAGTTTAAGTGCAGTTACCTTCTTGCAACAGGGACAGGTTGATACTGTTTAAATCCTAATTATGCACTGATTAAAAGTGATTGCGGTGCCAAAGTGAGCAAGGGCTACAATTTATTTCATTCTTAAAGGCTCAGCATAGAGAATTAATTGTATTTCCAGGAAAACAGATCAACATAAAGAGGAAGCAATTAAGAGTTCATTGTTGAATCATAAATTTCCCAGTAATTTTTGGAAAGTAGACAAGGACTTAACTTTGAAAGCAGATCTTGTTGACAACGAGAATTAGTCATTTAATAGTTTTGGTATTTGATGATACAAGCTTTACCTACCATCACTCATACTAAGTTTTTCTGAAACTGGTAAGGCAAAGATGGGCTTATTGTCATAAACTAGTCTTGTAGTGATCTGGTGTTTGCTTTGTTTTCAAATTTAATAATGAAATGACAGCCTGCAAGTTGTTCTCATGTAATAAGTAGGATAAACAAAACCAGTCACACTTTTCCTATGAGCAGGAGTCACTTCATAAGCACCATAAAAAATAAGAAAGCAAGAGAGAAACCAGAGCAGAAAAAATACACTTCTACAACAGTGATAGGGCAAAACCTGGAGTTTGAACAGCTTAGAGCTGGGAGTTCCTGATCTGGGTTTTATGACTGTCAATTATCTGAGACCTGTCTAAATGATTCCATATTTTGGGAAACAGTCCAGACCTGTGCCTGTGTACAGTATTACTTTTATTATTTATTTAGACCATTTATTTATGTTTGTATAGTGGGCTCTGCTGTCACATCTGATTTCTCAGTGATGGAATATCAGCATTCCCAGTGAAGTGCAAAGGCAGTACATGCCAGAATCACAGTGGAAGTTTAAAGTTTTTTTTTCATCCGGGCTGTAGGGTTTTCTTTCCTTTCTTTCTCTATAGAAATCAGTTGATTTCTGAATTCATACCAGTCTGTTATTAGCAGGAGAAATTTTAGTCGCAGAGAACAGAAATAACAAACAGAAGTTGCCACTCTGCACTGGCTCAGCTCAGTGCTGTTCAGACAAATGCCTCACATCAGTGCTGCATTGCTAATGCTGGTCCTCCAGGAGACAGAGAGCTCCATTTCTTTTATGAGACCTTGGGAAATCTCTCAGTATTTAGGTGACAACAGTGCAGAGAACAGTGACGTCACTGTGTGAGGATTCATTCTGCTGACAATTAGTGCTAAACCATGTCAACATTACCCAGAACTTCAGGAAGACACATACACAGTTTGTTTACAGGCTTCTTCTTTGAGGATATTAAGTTGTATGGGGTGATTCCAATCTGTAGAGCAGCTTTTCACTGGGAGATCGCTGTGGTACAGGAACTGAATGAATTCTGAAGTCTTCTTCATATCACTTTAATGATGGATGTGGTCAATTCACTCAGTCCTTTCCCATTTTTGTGACCACAGAAAAACACCAGTTCACGTGAAGATTAAGTTTGTTTTAAGCCTGACTCCTTATGAAAGCAAGGCTCATAAGAGCCTTGTGTCACCCAACAACTTTTGAACCCTTTCAGCCAATGTCTCTGCAGGGTAGCAGAAGAGCTGAGTTGCCAAAATAATTTAGTTCCTACACAGTTTGCCAGTTCAGCTAAAACAGCAGCCCAAATTTCATCAACACAATTTTTTCTGCTATAAGGAAAAAAACCAGAAAAACAGCAGAGGAGAATTTTACCATTGCATAAGAAGAATGTAGAAAATCTAGGTTTTGTTCACTTTTAATGCATTTGGTGGGAGATGTATATCCTTAACAAAGCAGACATACAGAAACCTGTATTCTTTTTATCTCAGGCTTGTCAACTAGCAGTGAAATTAAACACCGGGGTTCAAGTCAGAAGAAAAAATTTAAATTATGGATTAAGGAAAAGCTTGACTCATAGTAATAATGTGAAAAGCAGTCATCAAAAAGTGTGTAGCTTAAATGGAAAGATTAGATTTAGTGGAGTGAATGCATAGCAATTCCACTGAAATGAAAACGGATCCAAAATGGAACAGCTAAATAACACTTAAATAGTCCTTCAAGAAGCCACTGTTGTTTTGGGTGATTCTCTTGAAGTCAGTGAAACCACTGTTAATTCTGAATTCTGGTCATGAGTTTAGGTAGCAATTTCTGTCTCCTTAGTGACATTCTATTGTGGTTGAAACATAAACAACTTCCATGGCTCTACTCAATACATGTTTACTGTTTCTAGTAGAATGATTTCTCCCAAACCTTTCTTGAAGCACAATGATCACCTAGGGAGCTCTGAGCACAGTCCATCCTGGGCATTGGCTCAGGATATTACAAAATAAAAATGACTTTGCTATAAATCCTTTTATGTGCATTGGTTTCTCAATTACGTGATTTATGGGACATTTCAGGCTCAATTGCTGCATTTGAGAAGATGAGGGAAAAGAACATGACTAACACAGGGTGGCGTGTAAGCCTAAACTTCTTTAGGGAATGCTGCTCCAGAGGTCACTGAAATAAATAGACATTTTTTGAACTGTCTGCAGGGGGGGTTGAGTCAGGCTCCGAGGACATTTACAGGTTTCAGAGTATTGAATTAGAATTATGGAATTGTTAATGGGTAATATATGCATAATAACATAATGATGGTTAGAATTCAATATTGGAGGTTTGCCTTATGCAGAAGTCATAGACACATGCTACTCCTGGAATTTAATGTAGAGTTAATGTAAAAAAACCCCAGAGCTAATGTTTTTCTGTGCTCCATGAATCAAGAGGTTTCTAAGACTAATCAAAACCTTTCACACACTGTTTATTCGCATGTTGCAAGTGGATCAAAAGTTTGAAAGTACACCTCTGAAGTTGTTATGTTTTCCTGAATATTTTACAGTTTATAAATAAGACCTTTACTTTGTAAGCAACTTCTGGGTGGGAAAAAAAAATCCATTTCCCATAAAGGATTCACAAGAAGAGCTGTATGTTCAGAATGTACTTTCTATTTATTTCACCTCACATGGTCGTCTGACTGACTTCCTTTTCAGGAAGGAGGATAACTGAAAACATATGCTTGGTTATTCAATATTTTCTTTAACTTCTTGAATTTCAGTAATAAGTAGATAAACTTGACTCAACCTAACCTAAGGATGGATAAAGACTTTTGATACAGCTGGGAAACTTCGCACAGCTTCAGAGCTAGCAGAATGAGACAAAGGAGCTGTTTCCCACATCTCTGTCTGCATTAGCTTTTTCCCCTGACTTGTACCTGGAATATTATGAAGTATCCAGCAAACATGGCTAAATCTATTAAAAAGAATGATCTGAGGTCATGGTGCAGCCCAATATAATTTTGTGATGAAGCAGATTCTCTTTACATTCAGTCATGGGCACTGACCTGGCATTCCAGTGGAGGGGTTCAGGCTGATGCCCTTTTGCAATCATCCTTCTTATTCAACAGTCTTTGTTTCTGTTTGGAGAATGTGCCTCTTGTTAAAATGTTTGAGTAACCAAGTGTAGCCTCCTTGAATATTGCAACTCACCCATCAAGTGTTTGCAGAACACTTGTAGGTTTCCCAAGACTTTCCTGAATTGATGGTGGTCTCCCATGATTTCCAGGAAAAATCCATATAACCATAAGAAGTCAGATACATTGGACTTACAAGGACAGAGTCCACCAACAGTTTTGAAATGTGAATACACATTACCAATCTGCATGGAAAATAAAACTGAACCAGCTTTTTCCTTTAACAGTGTGAGAGAATGCTCTACTGAGCCCAGATATTTTTTTATCTGAACCCATATGGGATTAAGTGAGAAAGGCAAGGTTCTGTTCTGCATTTTTAGCCTTGCAGGATAGTAGGTCTTTTATACAGAGGAATCCAAAGGCAGAGTTTGTCTCAGATGTTTTTGCATCTCTTATCTACTCCTGCAGACTTTTACTATCACTGCACAGCCCAGCTGAGCTGAGTGTATTAACCATTTATTTTTCACTTTTAAGCTGCTTATGAATGTAATGACTATTTGTCTTTCAATTTTATCTTCCTATTTCTTTTGGTAAAAAAAAAAAAAAGTTGTGATCCACTCAAAATGCTTCTTAGGAATTGTTATATCTTACACAGTTTTTGTGCCACAGGTGAATTTCATCTCCAATCCTGCAGGTGAATTTAATCGCAAATCAAATCCCTACAAATTCCTCACCAGCTGTGAGGAATTCAAACCAGTATAAAAGCCTTATAGTAAACCTAATCTAGTTTTGATCAGTGCAGACTACTTGAAGGCTATTTTCTTATGGAGGAGCAGTTTGAACAAAAATCAGTTCTGATTCAACAAGCAAAGGTAAGAGCTACGAAGAGGCTCTGTAATACATTATGGAATTAGCTGTTTAATGGCAATTTTTTTCTTAATGGTTTCAGTGGTTTACTGGGTGATTTAATCCTGTGCCTTTTGACTGACAATGATACCAATCTACAGTATAAAGAAGTCTATGGGCAATACTTTTTAGGCAATACGTACTCTTAAGCAGGTTTGTGGCTAGTTGTTGAAATTGAAACTTTGTGCTGAAGGGCTGTAGTAGATAATGAATACCACATAGTGCAAACAAGAGACTCAGTCAATGTCTTGGAGACAGTCTTCTTCTCAGTATTTTCTGAAAAGAGCATAGATTTGGAAATCTTGTTATTCTTTAATTTTGGGATTTGTGTTCAGAGTTATCCATTAACATACTTTCTTCCTGAAGTCAGTACAAAACCTTCCATAGTTCTTAGTTTCCATACATTCCTGACTATTTGCATAAACTCAGAAAGTTTCATAGGACAGTGTGTTTCATAGCAGAACAGAGCTTGGGAAAGGAAGCTTAGATAGCCACTTACTTGCTAAATCTAGCAGCAAATAAAATGAAGAATTCCAGCCCTATAATCTTTTAATTAAAACTTGGCAAATTGTTGGATATTTTTTATTATTTTGTTTCCCTATCATTTTAGCAATGCAAGAAGCAGAACACTTTAATGATAAAAGTGGCTTAATAATGCAAATCTCATAGGACATGTTATTTTTAGACTAGATTTTATTACTATATCTATAAAAGAGGCAAGTCAAATATTTTGATACTTCAACCTTTAAATTAATACAGAAATAAAACCAAGTAATTTTGTTTCAAACCATTTATGAAGACTGGCTAATCTTAAGAATAACAGCGGTTCTGGACTTCAACATCAGCTTCTGAGACCACCCTTTGGAATGAAACTTTAGTCGAAATAAACAGGCAAAATTCTTTTCGTGCTTACATCCATGTATAACACTGTCATAGAGAAACTCAAAACAGTAAGTGTATGAACTGAAATTAATTTCTTAATTAGAGGGTAAAACTGGACTCTTTACTACTGCTGTTAAATGTCTGACTAAAGGATGATAACATGCTAATTATTGTACAGATGTTTTAAACACAAATTAGTTGATCTTTCAGCGCTTACTCTTCTATAGAAGGGGTCAGAAAGAGACAAAGGGAAACTACAGAGACGTGACCAGGCAATAGGTCACCTGTCAGCCTTAGGGGGGGGTTCAATCTTGATTTTTAATACTCTTTCCTCTTCCTTTTTTTTTCCCCCTCCTATTTCATGACTTCACATAGGGTTTAGTGGCTAGATACAGCCAAATGAAAAAGCCTCATTCTCCTTGTTACTCTTAGGACATCCACATGCAATTCCTGCCATGTCCCAGATGGTGCTTCCCTTATTTTGGCCTGCACGAACCTTTCTGCTTATTTGAATGCACAGGGATGTGATCAAGCATTTTGTTTCTAGCTTATATCACTCTCCCAGCCCTGATCGATCTTCAAGGATAACTATCTCCTCTTGGCTTTGCAGCACAGGGTCACCTACCAAAAACCTCATGAAAACTGGGGCTCTTCTTGGTTTGCTTTGATCACGCTGTAAACTTCCTAACAGACAACCCAAGATATAGAAGATGGGTTATTCTTAAGAAGTTATGTTACTTTACTGGTTAGGTTTAACTTCTTTTGCTTAGGCTGATTTAAAAAGAGAACACCAAGTCCCTTATCTGCTTGGAAATTATAAGGAAAATAAGCCCTCCAGTACTATGGGAAAATTTAAAATGTGAGTGAGTCACCAGTTTCTTGAACAAGAAAGTGTAAAACAATTTCAACCAGTCCTGTACTTTGGGGTTTGTGCACAGAGCAAAGTGACAGTGAGTCCCAAGGGTGGCATCAGTGGAACACATAAATAACCCAACTGCTCTCATTTGAAAGAGACATTCCAGCCCAATTAAGCCTTTGTAGTAAGGTCAGATAAACTGGTCCCTTTTGTGAAAGAAAGTGGATTTCTGTCCTTATTTTTAGTCTGTTATTGAAGCTGCCACACTAAGTACTTAAAACTAATGAGAAGGCCAGGATATTGTGTCATGTGAACCAATGGCTTCACTTTGTGTCTATCCTTATGTTATTTTCTTGGGTTTGAAGCGCTGAAAGTGGCTGCTGCTTGTTTGGTGAAAGTCCAGGGTTCTTCTGTTCATAGCAAGGTATCCAGGCTGAAGCAAATCCATACATTCCCTGGGCATATAGTGAAGGACCCTCCATGATGGTGTCTCCTCTCCTCAAATAGCCCAATCTCAGTGGCATGTAGTTTGAAAGGTTGTTTCGGCAGACGCAACCGGCTGTAATAAGCATTTTGGACACTGGAGATGAGTGAGATTATATTCTTTCTTTATCAAAAGAAGAGTAGCAGAGAGCTAGTTTGGTCCTCCAAATCACTTTGGGAAAAGATTTAGTGTTGAACAATGGAGGCTGGGAGACAAAAATGCTTAGCACCACTGACAGATCATAAAAAAAAAATCAAAAAAGCAAGAATGGTTTTCACAGAATTTTTTTTTTTTTAAACAATTCCAAAGTGGAGGGCTTTCTTTCCTCTCCATGCCCCCCCAAGAAATAACACTGCAACCAACAACCTGACAGGAAAATTTACTTTTTTCTTTTTTTTTCTTTATTAGGAAAATCCATTAAAAAAGATACATTAACATGCGAACTTACAGAACTCTTGGTCTTTGTGTGTGCTATTCTACATCATAAAAAGAGGCAGCTCACCTGTAAAAGTGTCACCTCTGTTGTAAATTTATTCTGCTATATCGTGCAAAGGTTATTATTCAGCTCATCCAAACTGTCTTCATTCATAAATCTCTGACTTGTGTTATATGAAAACTGAATATGGAAGTGACTGCATTCCTGTCAATTTTGTGAAAAGATCAAATTCCTTGCTCTAGTGCTGAGGTGAGCATCAATTATAATTCTTTGTTATTTGTGAAATTAGTTAATTCCGGAGATCAATGGACAAATATCCTTCCCAGCAAAAATCATCTAATAAAACTTGTGCTTATGGTAGGGAATATGTGCAAAAGGATTAGTGATTAATTTTGCAGGAATGCCTCTGTGCTATTCTAAGTTTCCCCTCCACATGGGGTGTTCTGAGCTGGTTGAACTAGTTTAGTCCTGAAGACCTTTCACACAGCTAAAGTCACAATGGAGCCAGTCAATTGACACAAAGGTCAGAAGATGCCATTAAAGCTGGAATTGGTTAGGAATGTCTTGGTGTGCTGGGGTTTTTGTAAGAAAATGTTTTGTGTTGTTTTTGGTCTTTTTCCCAACTTGACCTTAGATGGAGTTTCTCACTGAAACACAAGAGATTGCAAAATCGTAGAATAGTTTTGGTTGCAAGGGACCTTAAAGATCTAGTTTTAGTCCCTGGCCATGGGCAAGGCTGCCTCCTAGTAGACCTGGTTTGTCAAAGCCCCATCCAACCTGGCCTTCAACATATCCAAGGATGGACCATCCACAACTCCTCTGAAAAACCTGTGCCAGTGCTTTGTCACCATCGGAATGATGAATGTCTTCTTAATATCTGATCTAAACTTACTCTCTTTCAATTTAAAGCCATTGCCCCTTGTATGCATAGCGAAAACCATCTGCAATTTATTACCTGGAAGGATTTTAGTGTCATAACTCCGAGTACTACATAACTTTCTAAAAAGAAAATATATGAAGTACCAAAAGGAAACATTGTTGGAGTCAGACAATCTATTGCTTTTATAGTTTGTCATTTATTATAGGAAATATTCTTTTGATTCTAGACACCTCAGAGCAAAATTTGGTGATAAGAAGTTACCTGTAGAATGAGTCTGGGAGAGAACAAATATTGGGACTCAATTCATATCTTAAGCTTAATTTTTGTCTTGACCAGCTCATCTGGAATATTTTGTAGTGTAGAATGGTTCTAAGGACACAGAGAATCCATTAGCTCTTCAGTAAGCAAAGGTAAGGTTTCTTGATGCAAAGAAATCCTTTTCAGAACTAGTTTCTGTAACTTTTGCAGAACCTATATTTCTGTACTGTTGCACCCTTGTAACTTTGGAATGACCTTCTTTCCTTTGCCTTGGGGTAAATGAATTTAATCCCATTGTTTGTGTTTTTCATAGCAGTCACAGTAAGTACATCCTATCATGTGGTTTTCAAAATCTCAGGAGACTTCATTCTATCTGAATGCTTTCCATTGAACACCAAAAGTCAGAGGGAAAACATCCCTCTTTGGCAGAGCTCTGTAGATACAACAGTAAGACTATTTCTATTGCAAATACAGCAGAATCTCTTGATTCAAAGTGATGCTTTTGTGCCTGAAGCTTAGCTCTATGCAGGATGTGCTTGTGGCACAGTAACTGTGAGATGGAAAGAGGGAGAAGCAGAGGCTGAGAAGCAAGCCTTTCATCACTGAAAACCTCAAGTGGAAGGTTTCCTAATAACTCTTTAAAATAGCATCCTAAAGTAGATAGAATTCCACAGATTTGTAAACACCGAGCAAAATTTCTGTGTGTGTATTATTGGCAATTTAATGCTGGTTGCCTCTTCAAAGAGGCAACCCTGGAAGCCCTATGATTATATGACCTTTCTTTCATAGAAACCTCACGAAGTTCCCAGCCCCTATGTCTGCAGTGAAAAGCTTCCACAAGTGAAAGATTCCACAAAGTTCAGGAAACACATGTTCTCAATTTTCTATAGCTGGAGTTAACTATAGGGAAGGAAAGTCTGGCTTGGGGACTTTTAATCAGAGTAGGCAAAATAAATACAAGTAAAATTGCTGACCTGCTTTTCCAGAAGAGGAAGAAATAAGATAAGGAGACCAAGTTACTTGCTTCAATTATCCAAGAAATACTGTACCAGTGCTGTGAGCAGACTCTCTCCTTGGAGCCAGGCGAGTTTCTTGACTGCAGGATTCTCTTGTGTCAGATGTTGAGAGCAGGTGTTTAGCAGAGACAGCCCCAGCACCCCACTGTTCCATCAGCCACTCTTTTTTGGCTCTTTCAGTATTGGCTGGAGCCTCTTTACCTGCTTCTGTAGCTTCTATTACATGAGTCATGTTGGAGGGAAGAGGTGACTAGGAGATAACTTCTGATAAGTTTCTCTTTAACAGGAGAATTATAACAGGAGATTTTTAGGGGTATTTGAGGAGCAATAGGCTGCCCAAGCATTCTTCAATCAATAAGTCAAAGTTACTGGAACTCTTGTTTTTCACTGGATGCAGATATTCCACAGTCTAGTTACAGTTTGATTAATCAAGCTGGATTTCGCTGCTTTGTCTGCATCTCTCTGTTCTACCTCCTGCCCATCTCTTTTGAGCAATTTACCTTAAGATGTAAGAGAAGACTCCTTAAGAGGAGTCTTCTCTCCCTGTTTTTGTTACTTTGCTTCTCTTTAATGCAAAGGTTCCTAATGTTTTTTTATGTCCAAATTCAGACTGCCCCACAAAATATTATTTAAAACTTTGTCCTCTGGGAAAAAAACCCACAGCTATTTTTTTAATATATTTTCTGTGATATACATAGAAATAATTTTCTTACTTGCTATATCCACTAGTAACTCTGAGTAGAAAGAACACTTATCTTTTCTTAAAAGATTGCGTTGGTTATAATAAAACTCAGAATTCTCTGCAGTTTTTCTCAAGTATTTTTTGATTTGTTCTCTCTGCCTTCCCCCTCACCCAGAGCAAAGGGGAAAAGTCCACAATTTGACAGAAAGGGAACTTCAGTGAAATTGTTCACCTCCTCCAAACACTTCTTTTCTCTGTTATTACTTTTTAATACTTACCCTTTAGCACGCCTCCTTCTGTACTTTGACATTTATCTTTAATCTATGTGTAGCCATAAACATCACTTCTATGCTTAGATTGGAATCTGCCCTAATGCCCTTAAATGAGCTTGCAGAGGTGAAGAACATCAGAGGAACGTGGCAACGACATTACTTAAGAACAGGTGGTAAAAACCAAACACCATCAAAAGTGTTTTATTTCTATTTCAAATATTAAGATCTAACCCAATAGTGCCTGCATATGAATCCAAGAGGGGCTTAAACTGGAAAGACATTCAATTCATACAAATATCTTTTCATTGCAAGTAGGCAGGAAGAGATCTGCATAGCAAGATGTAAATGTCAAGAGTCTGTTTGGCTTTTCTTTCCCAGGGGTGTTGTAATGAACATGAGAGAACTATTTGGATTTCATTCTGGTCAGCTAACTTCCATCCTCATCCTCTCTAGCAGACAAAAATTGGAAAAATAAAACTAGAATAAATCTCAGGAGCTCATATAGTGCAAGTCCCCTTCTTGTCAATCAGGATCAGATGTATCTGTGACACTACAGCTTGATGCTCATCTGTTTTGCTCTGAAAGATTCTAAAATTAGCAGTTTCATTGTGGACTTTAATAGAATTAACTTTTCTCTTTTTTTTTAATAGTCTGTTGAGCATTTGGAGATAAGAATTATGTTCCTTAAACTTTTGTTTGCTCTTCCCTTTTATCCTACTGTTCTGCATGAGTAGGTCCCCTGGGATATGGATGGTTTAGGTATCACTTCTAAGTGCTCCTCTAATAGATCTGCTTGAGGATTTTGTTTTTAAACAATTTTGAAGCTTTAGCTTTGCTTTTGTTAACAAGTACAAACCACAGTTTGGAACATGTCTTGACTTTTTCCTACTAAATAGATGTGGGGGGTTTTTTTGTGTTTTGTTTTTTTTTTTTTTTTTTTTTTTTTTT